ATCAGTGGTGCAGCTCAACAAGGTCGAACTAAAATCAATGAGAAGACACCTCTGGCAGCCCCTGTACAGTACATGTGTGACCCCTGGGCACAGCTCTAACCAGTTTGAATTAGTTAGGCCTTATTAAGGTAGCCCTTAGATAATTGTCTGTTCAAGTAAAATTACAGCGATCTACAACCTCATCCACGCAGAAATATTTCAATTTAAAATACAAAACTGCTATATATTTTTATTGCCAGAATACATGCCTGAGGTGGATCATTGAATGATTTGCGGAGTGATAAAAACATTAAAATATTACATTTGGATAGACATAATTATGAATAAAATCATCTGGAATAGGATTAGAATTAAATATATATTACTTATTTACTGCTTTTCATGCCATAAAGATTAGGACACCTAGCGAGAAGGCAGGCAACAATTTTCCTTGTATACATYTGCTGAAGATGTCGTTATACAGACAACGAAGTCATACGACTTCTCACGCAACATTTGCAGAGTGAATATTACTCATGTTGCAATCTTGCAGGCATCAAATTTTCTTTGTTGCAACGAGTAGGAAGAGAGCCACTTCATGCAACAAAAAAAGTGGCAATTACAAATTAATGCAACATGCATTTTATTGCCCGTTTACTGAAACTGTTTTAGATTTTTTTWAAAATAATCGCAACGCAAGGCGGTTCCTCTGGATTTGACCAGTTGCGCGGAAAATAAATGCTGGTTACTTTCATATAGGACTTGTCCCAGTGGAAGGAAATCTTTAATCTGGATAGCTCATGGGAAGCAAACTGCTTTTCCACAAGCCACTTTTTTAAGTCCAAAAGTTACAAAGTGAAAGTTAAACTCCGATTCCACCATTTTCCATACATCGATTTGTTTATTTGGTTTGAGACGAATACACTATTCGATTAACCGGAACTTTGGGCTTTACTTTGAACATGATTGGTTAATGGACTTCCCAAGTGTCTTTGCGGTGGTGTAAACTGATCCACACCTTGTGAGCCATCCTGACAAGAGACAAATTTTTGATGAGAATAACATTTTGAAAATCTAGAATATTTGAAAAATAACACAGATTATGAGGGGGGAAAAGACAAAGATTTGATTAAAAGATTTAATGACGATATCCCGCTACAGCTTTATCTAGATATGGTAGCTTCTTAGTATCAAAACACTCACTTGAGTCACAAAGTTTTCATAATTTTTCAAACAAAAAATTTAAAWTATCAACTCTCTCCTAGCAATATTTTTGTTGTCGTTGTCCCTGCTGCTATAACGATACATGACAGACAGTTTTCTATCTCTGTGGCACGCAACAAAAGCCTAAAACTTTGTTTTTATCGGAAGAGCGAAATTGCAGCGTGTTTCGACAACTTTAGGAAGGAGTATACTAAATATTTTTATCTACAAATTTTTCAAAACGATATATTCATATTCATTGACAGACTTAAGGAATTAGTAGGTTGTTAGCAGTCGTTTGCTACATTAGTTTTAATTCAAGTGTTATAAAGGATTAAAGTACGAGAAAACACAGAAAGAATGTGTTAGAAAAAGCACCTGTTTGGGACTGGAAGACCCAGCGAATGCAGAAACTTGTTCGAGATTTTGTACCATCTGTCTAGACTCGGCCAGTAAGCGATGAAGTTTACTGGTGGGCGAGSACTCTTCCGCCTGCCAAGAAGTGGGAAATGTATATCATTGGATTAAGAAACTACTTTTGGTAAGTGGTCTTGTGTTTCCTTTCAAAAAGGTTCACTTTTTCCCCCAATTAAAAAAAACCTACACGAAACTACGTAACAGAGAGGAAAGATAAGTGTTATAGTAATTCTATTGTCGTTATTTTGATGTTGATGTTGACCATGCATGAAGGCTGTTTGTTGGTTATTTTATTATGTATAGTTTAAGTATATGACATTGACGAACTGAGTAGAGTTCTTATGAGTTTAGGGGACGGAAAGTAGACATAGTTCACACAGAGCGGTTTTCGTATGAGTGGGAAAAGATACAGTAAATTCGTAGTCAAGAAAATGGGAAGCCATTTTAATGTTACGGCATGTCGTACCGTGTACGTACTGTAAATCGGTACCGTATGTTTTCCCGCTCATACGAATACCACTCTATTGCAAGGATAGTCTGCTGAAAGCAGTATCACACGGGATGTTACACGCAATATTTCCCCCTCGTTCAAAATCTGCTTTTAAAGAATATAGACAATGATTAATTAATTACCTACCTGATGGTTACCCTGTGGTGTCGAAGTGCTATGCGGAAACCCATTTATAGACGGCCCGGTAGCTGTGCTGGTGAAATCAGCCCCGATACTATACGGTACATAGCCACCATCGCCGTTAAACGACTCAACATCGRGCTTGGTACCGGATATTGTCATGCCTCCAAATGTCGAGTACATGTCGGGTTTGCTGGCCKGTGCACCGTAGTATGGTTGTTGGCGGAAATCACTCCCGTAGTTATCCGGCATCCCTGTGCTAGTATACGGTCTGTCGTTTGATAACGTGGGTAGGGGTTCATGGGAAACACTTTCTAAATCTTCGCTAAACTCGCTGCCTATAGTAGCGTAGTTAGACATTGGAGTCAACCCTTTGCCTAAAAAAAAAGCAAAACGAAAATGTTTCAAACGATCCTAGCAAGAGCTAGTTGTATACAGAATGGGCCTATCCCTCCCTCCCCAAGTAGGGCAGGAGATAGGAAGGCCTGAATACATGCTAAACGAATATAGTTAATACGAGGGCCGTGAAGAACTCCTCGTGGAATTTGGTTTGCCGTTGAAGACAAAGATTTCAAGTCAAGGGCGTTTACATGAAGKTAGAATGACCCTGTGCTGCTAGAGCTACTAGTCTATTGTTTTTGATGTCCAATTTAATACAGATCCCTGGCACCAGAGTCACCTTACCTTCATGCAAACAGCCTCAAAGTTTCAGAGACATAAACTGATGAAACTATTACTGAATTAGAGCAGGGAAATGGGTGCATTTTGATGGTAAAATGTTTAGGTGCTTTCAAGTAGATTTTGAGTGCATCTGGACGCTTTTTGATCTATTTTGAAATCATTTGGGTGCTTTTGCGTCTATTTTAGATACATTTGGGTGCTTTTTAGTGTATTTTGGTTATTTTGTGTGCTATTTGATGGTGTATTTTGAGTACWTTTGGGTGTATTTTAAGTGCCTTTTCGGTGCAGTGCTTATCGTCACCTGGGAGGTAMGGAGTGAGATCACCATCATTCTCGTCGTCTAACATTACATTTATCTTGGTCAAACCRTCTGCTTTTGTCAAATAGGATACATTGTCTGTATGGCGAAACGTTAGCAGTARATTGTAAATTGAAATGTCATGAAAGCAAATTTACAAAAAGCTTACTGATTAGTGGCTTTTAGCACGGTGGTATGGMATGCATGWTGYAGCACTGAAATGGCTTCCCATTGTCGGCTCATGCGTGCATGTCAGCTAATGATAAATACTATATTATAATAAAATAATTTTGTAARAAATATGCTTCTTTGGCATATTTTCTTTCCAAGGATAACTCACTTTAGCGCAATGATAGAGCTAGCAAAGCACGAAATATTTACTATAGACCTAGTCTAKTTAGTTAGACGAAAGAAGCCATTCTTGTATTTAGCAGCGCGCTCGAAAAATGTCTTAAAATGAAAATAGCACGGCCATTCCAAGCCAAATTAGTGTTAAGACTGGACTTATCTATATATGGAGGCTTTGGGAATTGTTCATGGACCATAACTTTCAAAAAATGGACCAATGTTATCTTTAAGTATCTTCACATGTGAAGAAACCTCTCAGTAGATAATTCCGTCAACTTGTATTCTTTAACCAAGAAAAAACTTGAATTGCTTTATCAATAATGGCCGAAAACTGACGCTTATTTAARGAGATGACAAATAATAATGAATGAATAAATATTGAACAACGGTCACTTGAAGACGTTTTTTCGAACTCGTGTTGTGTTGACAAAGATATACAAGGTATTTCGTTAACGTTCAAACATAGAATTTATATCTAAATAGGGTCACACTTTTCATCTTCGTTCTATAACACCCAAAAATACGAGAAAAAATATAACTCACCATCAAAGTCGAGTGATTTCGTAGACACTGCATCCTACAAGAAAGAAACATGGCCGTTACAATCAGCTGTGGAATGAAGTGAATATACTTAGATGACAGTAGGGACAAAAATACTAGTGCGCATGCTTGGAAATCACGGATGACAAAGCGCATTATAATTTTCATATCTCGCGTTCTTAGAGGACTCAGTGAAGGGAAGAGCTCTAGAGGTTCTCGCTGAATCCAAGGTCTAAAAACTGGTTTTTTTCGATTAGGATTTCATGACTTTTCGCTTGTGTAACACATGCAGGCAGCCCAAGAAAGTTTCTGCGCGGATWGAGGTATAAAATGAAACGTTTTGTCTATTTGGGCTGTTTGTGTTGGCGTTAGYCAATCAGAGAACAGTTGCTCTTAAATTCACAGATCCTGCCTTTTTCCCGCCAATTTTCGCACACGCGCTTCGGTTTTTCGAAGTTGTTGGAAATGAAGAAACAAATGGTATAAGGTCTCACTTTGCTAGTCTTAAGAAACAGAGAAGAGAAAAAAGAATAGAAAATAGCTGGGTGAATAATTCTGTTAACCTGATTGTCGAAGTCAGGGTTGAGGTCRTAGTTGATCTTCTCTTCATAGTAATCCCCGATCTTAGCGTCGTTCGTCAGTTCATCAGATTTTAAATACGCCTCTTGATTAGACTGAAGCTGCATTTGTAAGAATGAGATATCTCGCTGCTGACGATCGCAGATCTGGGAAAAAATAATAAAACACTAGAATTAATGTATTAAAAGGCTAGGGTGATTACGGAGGCACCATCCATGAGACTATTACCTGATTTTCTTTTTTTGAATTCTCTAAATTTACCTGTCGTATGTTTTGCAGTTCAGCATCGGTTCTTTCTTGCTTCGATTTTTGGAGCTCTAACATTTGATCTTTTCTYTTTTCTCTTTCGCCTGAAAACAAATGTGCAAACATGTTTTTATTTTTTTTAGGGAGGCGTGGTTGGCATAGGTTACATGCAGTTACACTTTTTTGATGTGTAATATTTGTAAAATATTTTTCTTCTTGTTGAATTTTTAATGAGTTTGGCTGGGCAACTCTCCTCTACATTTGCGCCAAGCCTGGCGCCTGCGCTAACTAACTGCGAGGAGTTGGCGCGGAGCACAAGGCAGCCCCCGCGAAGGAAGCGAGAAGAGAAACGTAAAGAAACACTTTGAGAACCTCCAGTTTCTCAAAAAATTTACCTGTTAAGAACAACTCTTTCTGCAGCACCAATACTTCTTGTTTTACCTGATGAAGAAATAAAAAACAAGTATTGTTTCAGTGTTAGTAATTCCCACTGATACGATGTCGTACCATGCGCGTGCTGTAAGTCACTACCATATGGTTTCCATTCATTCGAAAACCAATCTAATGAGAAGCCATATCAATGCTACGGCATCTCGTAACGTGCGCGTGCTGTAAGTCACTACCATATGGTTTCCATTCATTCGAAAACCATTCTAATGAGAAGCCATATCAATGCTACGGCATCTCGTACCGTGCGCGTGCTGTAAGTCACTACCATATGGTTTCCACTCATTCGAAAACCATTCTAATGAGAAGCCATATCAATGTTACGACATGTCGTACCATGCGCGTGCTGTAAGTCTCTACCACATGGTTCCCACTCATTCGAAAACCGCGTGCTGTGAGTCAGTACCGTATGTTTCCCGCTCTATACGTACTGTTTGACTCTTTTTGACATCATCTACAGAGAAGAAAGAACAGCATGTTGTTAACACTGACCTGTCCACACTCAGCTTGTATCTCATCAGCATCACTAAACTGTTTACTTATGTCACCTATAAAATATCAACAAAAAATATTGGAAGAAGTTTAGAATGATAATAATAAATAATTATCAAGACCGAGGCTGTGTTGTTTGCCGAAGGTGAACCTGGGTGAATATATCACGTGTGAGTCGAAATTTCTTATGTGATTTTCTCTCAATTGCCACAGAATATTTCCTCTGTGAAAATGAACGGGTCAAGTGTGTCGTAGTGCATATGTAAAGGGTCCCTTTGAACAGTGTTACCTCTAAGTTTTTCAATCTCGTTTTTATTCGCTAAAGCCTGATCTTTCCACTGATCTCTCTCAGTCTTGAGAGTTGCATCTGCCTTCTTTAGCTCCTATAACAAATTGACAATCTTAAAATTGTAAAAATTTTAAGCTATTTACCATTTTCCTTTATAAAATAGCTTGCTCGAAATCTTGCGTTCTGATTGGTAGGGAGCGCCTGCTTTATGAGAGCACACAGCACGCGCGCGCACTTTCARTTGCGTTAYTCACGTAATTTGTATTTTATAAAAGAAATAAAAATTGCTTGCTGTGATGTGTGGAGTTAWAAAGCACTTGGGAGTTGGCAGAATAYGAGAGAAGTGTTAGRAGAAGCACGACGCGTAACTGCAACAGCACGCGCGCGCGTTTTCTATTTCTTCAAGGCAACAGCCACTACATCYATCCCCCACCCTCTCYCCCCGATTTTTCCCCCTGCATCTATCCACCATTGAATCCTGCAAATCCTATCGTAACAACCCCTTAACACTGTTACCTGGCAAAAACCTTCTAATCTACGGATCTTCTGTTGCAGTTCTCCAATTCTGACATTAGCTTCTGTGATGTCATTATCCTAAACATAAACAAGCATTTAATTTTTATCGAAACCTGAAACAACCTCTGGGCTGATCTAAGTCATGGTATGCGGCTAATTAACAGATCGAACCCTAAACAACCTCTGGGCCCCAGGGGGGCCAACACCCCAACTTGGGTAGGGGTGTGCTGCCAGGACCTCAAAACCCTGACCCYATCCCAGACCTAAAATTTTGATTTTACATACTCTTCTCCAGACTATAACTAATTTGTACACCCTATCCCAGACTAGACCCAGTTAGTCAATAGATTGCAATCAATATTAACTAACGTTTTTATTGTTTTTGTGCCGGCAGAAAACATAGGCTATTCCGCAGACTAAAACGACCAAATCGTAACCCTTTCCCAGACAAAAATGATACCCTATCCCAGACAAAATGTCAAGAAATGATACCCTACTCCAGACCCAAAAGCCGAAAAACCATACCCTATAGGGCGACACATTACCCCCCCCACCCCCCGGGCTCTGGGCTGATCAAAGTCAGGGAACGGCTAACTCACAGATTGAACCCTGAAACGAATTTAGTGGGCTAATCTTAGTCAGGGTATGGCTAACTCACAGTTTGAAGCCTGAAGCAACCTCTGGTCTGATCTAAGYGAGGGCAAGCCTAACTCACAGATCAAGTCCATAGAGCATCAAAAAGTGCTATAGATCTGCAGCAATCTAAACCAAAGACATCAAATCATCCATCTTCTTTTTGTTTCTAAACCTTACCTTGAGTTTTAGTCTAGTTGATAGTTCTTGTTCTCTTGCCTGTAGCTGTCCTATGGTGTTTGATAACTCTCTCATTGTATTCGTTAGGCTATTATTCTTTTCCTGAATCAAAAATCAAAACTTCATTACCAAGGTCAGAGTTTAGAAAAAACCGATAATGACTAGTGGTTACTAGTTGAGACTGCCTTGGTGTGTCAAATACAACCAGTGAAAAAGAAGAAACTGACTTTCCAGACTTTAGTCCTTCATCAAAGCAAGAGAGGTAACAATATTATTTTAAAAAATTGATTTGAGTCAGTGAGGACAAAAAATTACTGTGATTTACAAACATGCAAACTCTGTGTCTCTGGATTGCACACTGAAGTTTTTCACTGCTGTCAATCAAACCTAACCAGTCGGTACCTTTCATATTTTTGACTGGCGGCAGCAAAAAAACAAGTTTCAGCATGCAACTCGGAGAAACAGATTTTGCATGTTTATGAAATTGCAGTAAAACCCTTAGAATTACATGTAATGGCATGAGAAGGAGATATGAAATAGGTGTCAAAGAGTGTATAAAGACTTTAAAAAACCCTTTTATTAAGTAAATACGTATATTTTTCTTTGAAATGTGAACCTTTAGTCATGATAGAAAACGGTCAAATCAAAGACAATTAAAAATACCTCCAGATCTTGAAGTTGGTGTATCGATGTGTTAGCTTGTTCCGATACTTGTTGTAACTGTACCTATGTAATAAAAAA